GCATCGGTCATTACTGCTAAAGGTGCATCAACCTTTCGACGTACTAGTAATGCCTCAGTGCTTAATGTGCTTTTTAACTGTTCAAATGCTTGAATTGCTTGCGGTGTCATTGTCAATGATTTAGCTTGTCCCCTTAATAAATCAGTTAGCGGTTTTGCTATGTCTGCACATTTCGGAATAAAACGTCTGTAAAAGTTGATCATCCCAAGGAAACGTCGTAGTTTCTTGAATGAATCAGGTAAAGGATAATTTTTGATGGCTTGTGTTTCCTCAGGAACTGGTTTGATGCCTTGACTATCAATTACGTGACCTAAAAAGGTGAGGGATTGTTTTCCGAACTCACATTTGTCAGGGTTGACTGTTAACCCATACTCGTTTAGCTTCTCAAAAAGCATTTTCAGATGAATTAGATGTTCATTTTCATTTTTGCTTGCGATAAGAAGGTCATCTATGTAAGCATATACGAAAGGTAAGCCACGTACTACTTGGTCGATAAAACGCTGGAAACTTTGTGCAGCATTCCTTAATCCGAAAGGCATGCGAACAAATTCGTATAATCCAAATGGGGTAGTAATTGCTGTTTTGGGAACGTCGTCCGGGTGAATTGGAATGTGATGGTAAGCGCGGACGAGATCAACTTTTGAAAAAATCGTCACATCAGATAGACTATGAGTGAAGTCATGCAAATGTGGAAGTGGATATCTGTCTGGTATAGTACGGCTGTTGAGAGCTCTATAGTCACCGCACGGTCTAACTTCGGAAGAGTTTTTCTTGGGTACCAAATGGAGCGGTGATGCCCACGGACTATCGGAGGGGCGTATGATACCCAACTCTATCATTTTGTTGAATTCGTTCTTTGCTAGAGCCAAACGAGAGGGGTCAAGGCGTCTTGGACGTGCGAACACTGGTGGACCCTCTGTCTTTATATGATGTACGACGGTATGTGTCAGTTTGTCCCGTTTGAAACTCGGTCGTAATAAGTCTGGAAACTGATTAAGTAAACTAACATACTTGTCATTCTCGCGATGAGGTTTGATCAATAAATGTATGGACGTCTCGTTAGAAATAATCCCTCTAATTTCGCTGCTATGGTCAGCAAGGACAAGTTTCCGATTTCTTACATCTACGAGTATTTTATGGGATTGTAAAAAATCAATGCCGATTATAGGAATGAGGACGTCAGCTATGATGAAGTTCCATGAAAACTTGGATTTAGGACCGAAATTTAATTGTAACTGCCTTTTGTCGTACGTCTTGATCTCAGATCTGTTTGCGGCTTGTAGTTTTAGTTTGGGGTCAGGTGTGTTTTTCTCAAGTGTAGTGGGTGGTACTACACTAACCTCTGCCCCAGTGTCGACTAAGAACTGTGTTCCAGTCCTTTTGTCTGTAACATATAACAAGCGACTGCTTTGAGAGTTGTGTTCAGCGACTGCAGTCGTCATTAACCGACGTTCATGATGGTCTCTTTGTTGTGTGCTTGCGAAATTACAGGGAGAAGTACATTTTTTAGCTTGCTTACCGTACGTTTTATGGTACCAACAAATGTTATGTCGAGTGGTGCTTGGACTACGACTTTTACAGCTTCTGGACCTTCCTTTCCGCTTGCTGTGGGAGGTATTCAAGAATTGGAGCTAAGCTATCTGATTAGCGAGGACTTCGACTGTTCGTCGCAACTCGGCGATCTCGTCAGGTGAGTTTGATTGTATGTGAGATACGGAGTGCGTCCTAGTTCGCTCGTAAATTCTATCGGCTATATCTGCTAGCCTATCAAAATCGATATCCTCGTCTCCGATTGCTAGTATCTGTTGGATGTTTTGTGGTAGACGTCTGAGCCACAATTGATATAATAGACGTTTATCTACTGTACGATTCCCCAATAAATTTGTCATGTGGCGTTTTAATTGAGATGGTGTACTGTCACCTAGCTCTACATTAGCTAAAAGTTGATCAATTGTTTGCTGGTCGGTGAGAGATGTAACACGAATGACCTCTCTTTTTAGACAATCGTATGGTGAGTCTGGATCCGGTTTAAAAATGACGACAGACACTTGTTCTATAACATCGTCTGGCAGCAATGAGTTTGCATAACTAAATTTTGTGTTCTGATTTGTGATTCTGTTTGCAACAAAAAAGCTTTCTAAGCGTGCAAACCACAGTTCGGCCTTTCGGGGATTAAAGACAGGTAAAGGTACAGAGATGGCACCCACGGAAATAGACTTAGATGAAAGGCTTGGTGAATTATCAAGTGACATGATACGAAGAAATAATAACAATAGCAATAATAATAAGCTGAGGATTGAAATGTATGATATGAATAAGTCGAAAATAACAACAAGAAATATATATGAGACTCACCGAAAACAAAGGTCACTTTGAGTTTAAATAGGCAAATATAAAGTAATAATTCCAAAGGAACAATGTTATAGATGAATTAACTGACTGACAATGTATTGTTAATAATTGCAATAGTAATTCCAATATGAAGTTCTTTATGATTGGAGAATATGCAGCAGATTTTGTAGAGAAACAGGTGCGTGTTCTAAATGCGGCTCACCAGTTTGTAGAGGTTAACCAAGTTTGTTGAGATAAATTTCCTCTATATTCGACTCCAAATAAAGATATCTCATTAACCGAGTATTTAATACAGGCTTAATCTCCTAGTAGAATTATCGATTTACTCGAGATCATTAAAAAGCCCAAAAATCAGTTATAGAGATAGTTTATTGTGAAAGCTTGGTAAAGTCCGCAAGCATACAGCAAGCAAGCACCGAGTGAGTCAAAAATCAAAGTGTGTGTGTCTGTGTTAAAAGATCCATATATTTTTTTGAGTATCAATCAAGTGTAGATAAATTATTGATTATCTATGTGTCACAACCAATGGGGAATAGAATAGGGATAGAAGTGCAGACACACGCTCAATCATACTCTTATGGAAATTAACACAGTTGTGTAGACAAATAATACATTAATGGAATGGGCTGGCTACAACATACAGCCATTTTCGACTTTTTTATGCTATATGATCTAGTATTTGTGTATGTAGGCCCACAAGCGCTTGAAACATAGTATGGTAGAAACTGGCTGATGACTATTCTTCCGGTTAGGCAGAAGATAAACAAAAACTTTTGAACAGAAAACTAGATAGACTAAATACTTTGCTTAGTGTTTACTGTCCATGAAACAATGATTAATTCTCCAAGTCTTGGACATTAAGCTTCAAGATAAGTAGTAGGCACAGGCGAAAAAAATCTATTATCACGTGATATCGATGTGGGTCAGAAGTCGCAACACTCTTATTGTAGTGAACAAGAATACGAATAGGGACAACAGAATGCATTTGACACAAAATTATAGGACTTGTTAATAAAATCTGACAATCATATAGTAAGTGCTTATTTGCAAAATCTCTATAAATTATCTCAGAATGATTTGGACTTCATTGTTCTTGCATTTTCAAAAAATTTGCATTCTGTTTCCATTCTTTACTGTTCGATCCTCTTGTCTCTCTGATGCCAGACATTGTGATCACGAATAACGTCATATACTACTTATGTCGATATAAGTAGCACACACCACACCATGTGTATCAGCCAATAAAAATGGCTAAAGAAGAGGTTTTGATCCACAAAAAGTTATTTCGGAAATCAAGCTTTACATTAGTTGCTTAAAATCAATATACCACCTACTTCTATTCATCATAAAGTTTTTACTAAATGTATTTACATTTTATCAGTATCATCGGTAAAGCACAACTTTGTATAAAATGTGGGGTATCTAACAGGCGATCGCGGTTGCTAGGTTTGCATGAATTTGATATGTTTCAATGTAGATTGCTTGACAATGAGAATTAGATGTTTAAGAAATTACATAAACTTCATTTTTGTGTGCAGCCTGAGTAAACATCTCGCTGTACTAATTGAAACTTCCATACTAAGGAAGTTAGGATTGGTGAAGAATTGTCCAAGTAAGCTAATGTAAGCACCATTGCTCAGTCGAAATAAAAAAGTGACTGTATTATTAATGGTTTTGAATTCCAATATTGATCTGAATGCACATTATTACTTAAACAAATATTACCACCCAGTTATTTAACCAACAATTGTCCAGTCAGTGGTCAATTCTAAAATACATGAAGTGGATAAAGTGACAAAGTATATAAGCGAAATGCCGATTGAAACAAATAGATGAATGAATAAAATTCTATTGTTTTTATGTAGACTGTTCAAAAAAGAATATTCAATTTTATTATAGCACTGAGTGTTTCCATTTCTCGACGAGTGCTTCAGTTTACATCAGAAACACACAATTCCAATCAATTCAATCAACACAACTTAAAAGGAGAGCGTATCGATATAGCAGGCACTATAACATTGTATCAACTGAAACAAGGTAGATGTATTTTAGGATCAACATAGAGAATCAGCGAAAATGTGTGAAAAACAAACACCTCGATAAAATAGAATTAGTATGATCTCGAAATTTACGTCTAAAGGAATAGAGAAAAATAAATCAAAACAGTGTGTACGTGAAGAGACTTTCGTAAACAAAATATCGGAAACCCATCTTGTACTAGGTAATTTCAGTCTCTTGTCTTCAGTGGTTATCATATTGATTGGTCTCATTGAAGGCTCTTGAGATACTATCTGCAAACCATTAACTATTGCACAGGCCACATAGACTATCAAATAACCTGGAAACACTGTATGTTCGTTTCATCCTGTTTTCGGGATTCCTCAGCAGTGCACATCCACGACGGCGTAAAAAGATAGCCTAGATATTCAAGCAGGCGACCTTTATATTATAGTAATTTCAATAGTCAAAGTCATGAACCAATTGAAGCTAGACCACCATGTATACTAATAATTTACTGGTGTCCTTTTTTTTTGGACAATGAACATAGAAATAAGTCATATGATCTTATGAATGACGTTTAATTCTAGTTCATTTCCCTTGACTTTTAAAAGAAGTAAAGTATATAAGTTATAACATGAAACATTATGTCAAATAATGTCATGTCATTCAGAATAATTTCTATGATTTAATCAAATTCACTTTTAATAAATATAATCAATATAATGAATGATTACTATACTATAAATGGTTATATAATCTATGATATTATGTAATTTATAGGAACAAATTATGAGAAATAGTTACCAGTCATATAGTTTTCTTTTTGTTATCTTTTCATTATTGATTTTCACTACGACTGATACTAAACAGAATCTAACACAAAAATTAGAAACAATACATCGTCTACATACATATTATAGAAATTCTCTATTACTTTGTAAACTTCCATCACAACCTCCAGCTTATGATATGGAAGTATTGGTAAGATTTATTATGATTATTTTTGATATGATATATATTGAAGACTTATTACTTATTTGCTTACTTATATCTGTTAACATTTATGGAGAAAGGGAGGTCAACCATTAGCATTCTACATTTAATACTATTCCAGACATTCCTTTACAATTGTTTCCAGTTGTTCTTGATTCTTTTCATGTCTGCTTCCAATTCTTAACGTGGTGTGTTCTTTGGTCTTCCTGTTTTCTGTTTTTTCACTTCAGGATTCCAAGTTAGCGCTTGCCACATACAATGTATGTAAATTAATAATTGATCTGGTTGTTAAAAGGATCATCAACCTCGTGATTTTCGAAGGAACTCAGCTTTTATCATAAGACGTCATAACTCTTCTAAATGAAAACCTTCTGACTTTAGGGGAAGAGTTTAAATGGTTTGAATAATTTTTTCTGGTTAGTATTTTTTAGCGAGTAAGTTTCGTACGGAATGGGCTGGCTTAACCTATGCTCAATCCTTCTCCTTTATCCAGCCTTGTGACCGGTAGTGTATGGACGGTTCACGAGTGAACTAGAGGGTGCTATAAGAAGCTCATAAAAAGCCAAAGATATTCCATCCAATCACCTTTTGGAGGAATGTTCTAAAATCCCTACGTGTAGATTCCCGATTGGACAATGTTAATAACCCCCTGTATGCAGATTGGAGGACTGTAATGATGATTTTGTTTATTAATAAACACTATAAATACCTGACAATTTTGTACAATAGTGAACATGGTTTGGAATAGCTTTCCTTTCATTTGTCTTCTGTCTTCTCATTTGAGACTTGGAAGAATTCTAGCGTTCAAATACTCAAGTTATACACGGTATATCAAGAATATAAGCATCTAGACATAACAGGCAGTAGGCACAGAGGGGCTCCAGACAGACTTAAGAAGTTTCATTATCTCAGGGTTAAACCAAATTAATGTATTACATACTAATTTTTTCTAATTTGACTACTTAATACCTTTTCATTGATATTCTTAAACCTTTTATTTGTTTATTTTCAGCGTTGGAATAATACACTAGCGAGAAATGCTCAACAAGTGGCAAATAAATGTGATTTAAGTCTTGATTTAGTCAACGACAAACTATTGGAACACTTTGAATCTGTAGGACAAAATGTAGCTGAAACGGATACAATCAAAAAGTAGGTAGATTTACGGTGTTTTTCGTTTGCAGTACTACTACTACTACTACTACTGCCATTACTACTACTACTCATTACTACTACTACTATCAATACTACTACTACTACTACTACTACTACTACTACTACTACTACTACTACTACTACTACTACTACTACTACTACTACTCATTGTACTACTACTACTACTACTACTACTACTACTACTACTACTACTACTACTACTACTATTACTACTACTACTATTACTACTACTACTACTACTACTACTACTACTACTACTACTACTAATAATAATAATAATAATAATAATAATAATAGGAATAATAGCATGATATTTAATGAACCATTACAGTGCAATGGAAAATTGGTTTCGAGAATCTCATAATTATAATTATGAAACAGATAAATGTAATGGAAGTTGTTCAAACTATAGACAAGTAAGTCACTGATTAAACTAACATTTCTTATGTATATATATGTTCAAATTAACTTGGATATTACATTTTAATAATTATTAACTAGGAAGAATGCTAATAATTAAGAAAGCAACTTTCAGTAGTTCAGATCATGAGTCAACTAAAGCTAGACCATCATGGAGAACCTGGAAGCACTGAATGGCTGTTTCGTCCTAGGATGGGACTCCTCAGAAGTGCACATCCGCGATCCTCAAAGTTAGAAATTAACCTCGTTGAATGTTGGCCGGCTTTGTAATCTAGAAATTAAGCGTTCGTACGTGAGACCAATAAGTCCTGGGTTCGAATCTCGCGAGGCGGCATCGTGGATGCGCATTGCCAAGGAGGAGTCCCACAATAGGACGAAACGGCCGTCCGTTGATTTCAGACTTTCTATGGTGGTCTAGTTTCAATTAGCCCATGAATTCAACCATTAAATTACTATAATATCTGCTGGAACGTTTTCTGATACTAATTAAGGAAGCATCGAAGGATGTTTCGTCTAAACATTTTGCACTCATCAGTAGTGCATCTATCAGTTCATGACTTATATACATATCTCGATGACAATTACGAATGGTAAGTGTTGTGGTCTATTTATGGACTTATACTATACACATATTTTGATTGCATAATTATTAATTAGCTAAACCATGAAAATTCATGTTCCTGTTATTAAAAGCTTTATTAGTATAGCGTTGTGAAGATTAATAATTTTTTTGAATGAAATCATGAGCCGATTGATGTTAGGCCACCACTGAAAACTTGGAAGTACTGGACCACCATTTTGTCCTAGTATGAGACTCCTTAGCAGTGTGCATCCATGACTTCACACACAGGATTCGAACCCAGGGATTTAGGTCTTGCGCGCGAACGCTTAATACCTAGACAACTTAACCGTCCGGCAACCAACGGTGTTAATGTCTTAGCTCAATCAATCCAAGAAATTTTACGACCATTTTCCATTGTACTGATGTAGATACCTGTCTTTACTCGACACGGATTAACTCTACTGGTCATAACTTCTCACTAGAACTCTGAGAACTCCTTCACGAATCTAGTCACTAGTGAGCACATAACAATTATCAGTGTGAGGTTGTGGAGGTTGTTAAGTTTTTGATTAAGATCATGAATCCATGAGTGTTAAACCTTCATTGTGAACCTGGATGCGCAGTGCTAATTAGCCTCATACTAGAACGAAATGACAGTCCAGTGCTTCCATATTTTCAATAGTGATCTAACATAGATCAATTCATGATCGCAATCGAAAACTTAACAATCTTGATAAGTCCATACTGATCATTTTCATTAACATCTCATTATTCAAACCCTCAAAGCTCAGCTTCACAATCTCAGATGTTGTCCATCAACTATATTCAGGTCACAGCTTTTCCTTTATAGAAATTTAAAAATTTATGCTACCTTTCTCCATTTTGAATTTTAGATGGTTTGGGCTAAAACTCAACATATTGGTTGTGGTCTTAATAAATGCAAAAAAAAATTAATGGTTGTCTGCAATTATTCTCCATCGTAAGTAGTCAAAAAAACAAACTATTTCAATCTTACTACTGATATATTTTGTAAGTAGTCAGACTGTATTTCATAATGTTTATCTCATGGATTGGTTAGAATAATAATTGAAAATGAAAAGGGTACCATAGAGCTATTTCATTCATTTAATCTAAGAATTCTGGTCGAAACACGTATGTTTAATACCATCAAGAATCGAATCCATAACTTAGATGTTTGATGGTGAACGCTTCATAACGATTAGTTAACACCCAGCTTCAGTTGTTTCACTATATTGAAGAAAGAAAGATACCGATTAGGTTATATATAACAACTCTACAGTATACCTTTCTTGCTCACTATGAGCTCATAAGCTTCAAGATTTAAATATATTTATATATATATATATATTATCCCGTAGTGAAGAATAATAGATCCTCCTCTTGAGTTTAGTTACATAAACTTGATAGGAAAAATACCAAACAAAATAAAACTTTCAGTTGGTATTGTTTTGCTTGTATCTTCCCATTCAGGTTTTAAGATCGCAATTGATCAGTCTTTTATTGGTATATGTGCATACTGTGCGTATACTTTGATATTCCATTAATTTACAAGGTTTTCTAAGCAAAGATTGATAGTGGCTAGCAGTGGAATCTCAACTCTGAGATGCGAGTACATCCAGCTGACGAGTCCCGAATAGAAAGAAACATACGTTCTGGATTTTACTGCTAGCTGTCCATCTTTGCTCATAAATAAAACTTTGATTGAAAATATCTCCCAGAAACCCCCTTAAAACACTCTCTTTTTTTGTCTTTAGATAATTATTTCGAATTTAATTGCATTTGGTATATTGTTTTGTAGAGCTGATGATAAAGGTAAACCATACGTAATCGGGGATCAAAGTCAGTGTTTACGGAATGATTAGAAATACTGACAAATTGACAAATGCATCCTTTCAAACTATCTATGATTGTCGTTAACTAGTTATTTTCTTAATTCTTTTTTTATGTGCAATATATATGTATGAAATGTTATTGTTATAAATTATGCCCCGTAGTAGTAGTAGTAGTAGTAGTAGTAGTAGTAGTGGTAGTGGTGGTAGTAGTAGTAGTGGTAGTGGTAGTGGTAGTAGTAGTAGTAGTAGTAGTAGTAGTAGTAGTAGTAGTAGTAGTAGTAGTAGTAGTAGTAGTAGTAGTGGTAGTAGTAGTAGTAGTAGTAGTAATAATAATAGTAGTAGTAGTGGTAGTAGTAGTAGTAGTAGGAGGAGGAGTACTCGTAGTAGTAGTAGTAGTAGTAGTAGTAGTAGTAGTAGTAGTAGTAGTAGTAGTAGTAGTAGTAGTAGTAGCCAACAGCGCATAAATAAAAAAGCAATTGTGTAAGCAATGTTTGTGACTAGTTTCAGTATCAAAATGTGGAGGATTATTTGAGCTTTGAATACCTCCTACTCTGATGAATAACCTTCATCTCATAAAACAAAAAGGGTTATTCAATGGCGGCTATTCATAGTCAACAGTAGACACTGACGTTTCATGTTATTTGATATTCGTCAGCAAAGTAAATGATGCTCAGTGTTACATTAAGAAAACCAGAATGAAAAACGAAGGTTTTTCTTTTACAAAGTAGTACTTTTATTATAAAATATATGCAAGTTACTGAAGAAACTCGTCTGGTTTTAAAGTTTCCATTCCATTTTACTCTTTAATGAACATGACTGAAAAACTGTATGCTTCCTGATATGGTTAAATAAGAATACTATTGAATATTTGTAAGTAGTATACTGTGTTATTCGAGTCCTATACTTCGGGACCCACCAGTCTTGCACCAGGCGCTTAAACAACTGGACCACTGAGCCGACGTCTGACGGTGTTAATATTTAACTTCAACTAATCCACGAAGTTGCGCCACCGTCTCCATTGTATTCAGTGAGCTGATATCTCACAACAGACCTGGGCGGGATCGTGGATACGTACTGATGAGGAGTCACATACTAGGACGAAACGGCCGTCCAGTGCTTCCAGGTTTTCCATGGTGGTCTAGCTTCAATCAATTCATGATTTCAACTATTGAAATTACCAATTCTCCACAAAAACCCTTCTAGTATACGAATTTGAAACATGTAGGACTACTGCAACGATCACCAAGAAGGCAAAGTATTTATAAACAATTATCTACGTAACATACTCAATATTCTTTGGTCGAATACCATCAGCAACAGTCTACTGTGTGAAAAGACGAACCAGCTTAGAGCTAAGGAAGAAATTAGGAAATGATGTTGGAAGTGGATAGGAAAAACATTTTGGAAATCATGAAACTGCATCACGAGGCAAGCGCTAACATGAAATTCTGAAGGGGAACGGAAAAACGGTAGGCCGAAGAAAACACTGCGTCAGGATTGCAGAGGAAAGCGTCGGATACAAAGTGTTGTTGGGCGGCCTATGTTCCTCAATGAAGGGTAACAGGTGTAAGTAACATTAATCGAGTACCCAGTCTGGCAATAGCATACTCTTGGTCATCAGTCTTATCATAACGTATTAATATATCACGGAACGAGAGGAAGTAAATCGAATTAAGACGTTACATTAGTTTCTTTTCAACTTTAGAGAAAATTCACTACCAATTGATAAAGCTTTCAGTATTCTTTTGAACAACATCATCAGCACAAACTTTAAGTAGAAACTGAAAGATCCACAAATAAACAATCTAGCTCAGAGAATAAAGCTCCATCAAAATCATTCATCGATATTCCATAAGTATAATGTACTTTAATTTTTACATAATTTGACCTATTTTATAACAGTTCGCTGAGTTGACATAGCATGTTACCCCTAACTGTAACATTGTAATTTATATGCACGTTCACAAATCATATACAAATAAAGGACAAAACGATATTTTAACATTTATCCTGTTAATATATCACGTGATGACATTTCCATTCAGGACACTGACATATACAACCTTGGCATTGTGCCAAACTAATGGTATGTTAACTAGTACGAGCAGTCTAGAGTTAATTCTGAGTCCATATTACTTTTTCTCGTCTAGCCTTTCTCACTTGAATCCAGGACAGCATCTCATCTTCCACTGGATGCATCGTAGATTTCAGATATACTTGGTTTATACACAAGCAGACCAGACCGCATCACATCATAAAATGAAAGAAAATAATTATACAAGATCAAGTTAAAAGTGACTGTGATTGTAAGAAATTGTAAGTAATAAATTGGGGGGGGGGGAAACAATAAGAATAGTAAGTCATATAATAGTAGCCAATAAATCAAACGGAAGCTTATAATAAAGGGAATATGAATATACATCTAATATGGTTAGTTACAATGAGAATATATATAATAATAGTCCACAAATAGGTCCTAGCGGTTAATATTCACCTATTCCTCTTTTGGATATAACACTATGGATCTTTCTTTCATCGGAATCTATTTGAAAGAATTTACATCTTATACATCAAAGAAATATGATTTCAACCAAAAATTTAACAATCTCCACAACCCCTAAACTAATAATTACCATGTGATCACTAGTGACTAGCTTCGTGAGAAAATTCTCGGAGTTCTAGTGAGGAGCCGTGACCAGTGGAGCTAATCTATGTCGGCTAGAGACAGGTATCTACCTCAGTACAATGGAAGATGGTCGCATAATTTCGTGGATTACTTGTGGTTAGACATTAACACCATTGGATGCCGATTCAGTGGTCCAGTAGGTAAAGCGTTAGCGCGTGAGACTAAAGGTTCTGGGTTCGAATCCTGTGAGCGTGATCGTGGATGCCCAATGCTGAGAAGTCTCACCATGGGACGAAACGGCCGTTCAGTGCTTCTAGGTTTTCAATGGTGGTCTAACACCAATCGGTTCATGATCTCAATATATATATATATATATATATATATATAAATTGATTGCACACTACTCAAGATAATTGATAAGTAGTATAGTCATTTTTACGAAATTGGTTACCCTCAAACTGCTGGGGATGTTAGATCCCCAGAAGTCACTTGGTAAATATCTTATTTTTGTAATTCTATTTTGAAAATTTGAATTTCTTGTTTTCGCGCCAAAAGTGCTCATTTTCACATTCATGCCGTATTTCCTAGTTGACAGGATCTTAAACGCTATTGGCTGGTTGTATCATTTAATGTGCTATTTTGTAACGCTTTTCAAGGACATTTTTATCCTGTATAAATATACACTTGTGTTGTGCTTATTGTTGTTGTTTGTGCTACTGACTACTTGTGGAATATATTTCCCTTTATCATACTTAGACTTCTTGCTGGGATGCGTCAGAATAGCTAACTTATCTGTCATTACGTCACAGTGTCTTTATTTCCATTGTCAAATGAGGTTAATTCGTAATCACTTCAAACATAACACAAACATTTTAGACAAAGTTCGAATGACAATGTTTACAGAATGTGATGAATGCATTGTGTTTTGTTGCTTTCTTTTTAGCTATACATCAACTGATATGTTTAATTATTTCCAATCATTAAGGTAATATCGAGGCAATACGCATAGTATGGCACATATGCCATTAATAGAGACTGATCAATTGAAGTTCTAGACATTGGTGGGAAGATTCGAGTAAAACGATTTCAAGTGAATTAAACTTCACTCTACTGAACAAGCAAGTGGTTATCAGCACTTAATAGCTAAGTGGATAATGCGGTGAGGTTTGAAGCGAGCGGTTCCAGAGTGAATATCAACTCTGAGATGCCAGTACATCCAGCTGATGAGTTCGAAATAGAACGAAACGCGCGTTCTTGATTCCACTGTTGTCCACTATTCATCTTTGCTTACATTGAAATATTTTTGACAGGGAAAGAGAATGTATTGATTAAAATCACTAGATGATTGATACAATGGGACAATCAAAAGTTACCATATAAGAAGGCTACACTGTGCCAAACAAAATCTCCCAAATGACAACTACATTCCACTGGTTAAGAATTGGTTTTTCTTTCTAGGAAATATATATATATATATACCTAAATGAGTGCTTAAGCGTTTGATTTGGTTTAACTCAATAAACTTCATTCTAAACTCTTTGTGCATAGAAACTGTGTGTAACCCTATTAGTCTCGGACACTGCACATTATAACAATTATAGTTACGATTAGTTGCAGAAAACAGAGATCGAAATGTTATTAAGGTAGTTGAAGGTTGACCACTGAACTTCTTTTAAGTACTGATGTTTAGGATAGGATGATAATGATTGATTGTTTGATTAGTAGATATTCTGACAGGAGTTAGATGAGTTATATATTATCTTATCCTTACTATTATTGGATTGTTTCGGATTGATATCATTTCTTATTGTGGAAATGTATTTCCATTGTAGTCAGGTTAATCACATGTCCTTAATCTGAGTTGTCTTGAAGTCCTGTAGAATAGACACTGGGAGGGAATCTAGTGTAGATATTTGTCTTAGGTAATTTAACGTCCCATACGTGTAACCGTCGAAAACTGAGTGTTCTAACAAGTACAAAAGTCAAGTTAAAGGTATATAATGTCTATGACTTCAGAGAACATCAATAATGTGGAAGTGGATTGTTTATTGATAACTTTGAAGAATTCACTGTATCCATGTTATTCTTCGTGTCTAGTTAGCGGTGAAGTATAGATCTTAGTAAGTAGTTTTCTCTTCAAAAGCGTGGAGAATAAGAAATACGTATAGTTATTACCTGCTTATATTTGAAGAACCAATGCCAAGATGAAACCCAAATTTTGTATTCTGATATGAATCTCACTTTAAGAGAGTTTAAAAATCAACTTATCAACCCTTAAATTTTCAGTATAGTTCTGTAGAGATTGTTGAATTCAATTAGCATTGTGAACTGACCATTTTACGAATATCCAAAACCCGGAAGCACTAGATGATCATTTCATCTTGAATAGGTTCTTAATCTCAACTTAGTAATGTGTACTGCTGAGAAGTCCCGTATTAGGACGAAACAGCCATCCAGATCTTTTAGGCTTTTAGTGGTTGTATAATTTGAATCGATTCATGATTTCCATATTACACTATGTGGTGACAAACCAGATCGTGAAATCTGGTGATGCGGGTTCAAATCTCATCAATTTCTTCAACACTGAGGATATGCGTTGCTGATAAGTACTTACTACCAGAAGAGGGATTCCTGTTAACTATATTCAGAAACCTAACATTACAGTCTATTACATGTCATAATAATTAACTTAGGCCAATACCCACATTTCAACTTGACAGATAGAATTTAAACACCATCAAATGGTTAAACATACATGACGTTGATTATCGCTTAGTGATCAATAAAGGTAAACAGTACCATTTTGATCTAGAATAGACGGGATGTAGTTGATAGTAGAATTAAGGACGCGCATTTCGCCTTACTAGAAACTAGGATAAACCTGTATTCCTGAGTTAATGCTCACCCGAGAACTCAAACCAGGTACCATTCACACAAGATTCCATTATGTTATCCATTTAGGCACTGAGTCGAGATATCCAATTACTTGTGCAAGGGTTTTGAAATAGAGCGGCAAAGCCACTACATAGACACTAATCCAATGACCTCACTAAATCATTCAATCGGTAATAGCAACTGGAGGTGTGTACAAAGGGCAGAGACGTAGTCAACACAAGGTTATGACTTGCAATCAACAGGAATTCCTCGTTCACAGGGGAATACGTTGACATGTGATCAGGTAATTTATTTTATATTATTTTATGAGTTGATTGATTTGGGTTATATTACTGAACTACTACTTGTAGTGAGCTATTATGAGACTAAAAAGTGAACTCAAAAAAAGAACATACATTCTAAACCAATAGAATCGAAGATAATCACAGCTTTAAATTCATGGTCAACCTTACTGGAAGAAACTTGGGACGCTAACGTAAAAACCGAAAGTTAGAAAGGGATAGGTTCTTAATCTTAACTTAGTAGTGTACATTGCTGAGAAGTCTCGTATTAAGATGAAACAGTTGAATTCATGAGTTAATTTGAAACAAGTTCCCCATTGAAAAACTAAAAGCACTGGATAATCGTTTCATCCTAGCATGGAACTCCTCAGCAATACGCATCCATAATCCCACCTTGCGAGGCTCGAACCCAGGACCGATCGGTCTCACAAGCGAATATTGTCAGTCATGAGTTGCTGTTGTTTTGTTTTTTTGTTGTTGTTGGTAACTTAGTATTGTAAATGTGAATAGAAATAAAAGGTTAGATAATAATTTATTTATTTTTGTTTTTGAAATTTATATTGCTGCATATTCATACAAGTACTTCTCTTATTTATTGATTTTTTTTCGGATTACGCTAAATCAACCTTAATATTCTGCATCATCCATATCATCGCAATTGTCTTGAGTGCCTTTCTCATATGGTTGTTTATCTTCTTCAGCTCTATAAAAATTGAATAGGGAAATAACATGTCAACTATTTTCATATGCATAGATATAGATATATAGGACAATAAGTGAAAAATGAGAGGAGAACAGGAATCCATAGAAGTGTGTATTAATGACATCAATCCAGGAATTATTCGCGAATGTCTAAACCTTAGATCACTGATATAGAATCTAATGGTGTACAAACTTAACATTAAAGGAAAAGAGATCTCTAGTACTTAGATGGTGGTTTGAGGTAGTCGACAGGAAACTTTGGACCCAGGTTTCGTGTTAATTGGCACTTGTCAGAAAGGTGTACTTATAGTCTTGAGGGAACTGCTGCTCCATGACCGATCCGATCCCGTTTCACCCAGCTTCACAGTCAGAGACGTTACTATTGAGCTAACCGGGTAGCAACCGACCTCTTGTAGGACTGAGATAGTGCACACAGTGTTGAGTCACCTAGACTGATGGCCGCATTGCAACTTGATCGATAGCATTTGATCTGCACTAATAAGCACTTGACACATATATGACATGGATCACCCACCACCTTGTGATCAATCAATTGTGATCTCTAGTACTTCCATATTTTCAATGGTTATCTAGCTTTTGGTTATTTCAGGATCTCAATAATCTCAACAATTGATATACTCTTAAAAAACCTATAAATTTTTAATGGACTATATAGGTAGAGATAGAATTGAAGAAAATAACACTTTTCAATTGAATCAAGTTATTCCATGGATACTTTGAATTCTGTAAGATTGATGAAACATCAAGACAACTAGTAACAATAACGCATATTCGTAGTATGTTTTACTTTTTGGTCATCAATTGATTGTTCAAATGATCATTCATGAAGTAAGGTTAAGAAATTCACAATTGATTGATCACTGGGTGATGGGTGATCAATGTCGTGCGTGTCAAGTGCTTATTAGTGCAGATCAAATGCTATCGATCAAGTTGCAATGTGGCCACCAGTCTAGGTGACTCAACACTGCGTGCACTAACTCAGTCCTACAGGAGATCATTCGCAGCCCGGATAGCTCACTCGTTACGTCTCTGACTGTGAAGCTGGGTGACACGGGATAGAATCCGTTAGCGAGTACCAGTTCCCTCGAAGATTACAGGTACAATTTGCTGACAAGTGCTAAGTAGCACGAATCCTGGATCCAGGGTTTCCTGTCGATTACCTCCAATCATCATCTGATTCATGATTCTATGATTCTATCAAAATGTGAATGAATAAGACTTCTAGAAACTTTGAAGCATTAATCACAAGTTAGATAGGCTTTGTTATCTAAATTTTCTTCACCCTTTGGCTTATTGAGGCATTACAATTCTAGTAGATACTAAACATATTTACTATCGATTCATATAATATTAGTAAAAATAAGCCATTTCATATTAATCTACCCTATTAGATTAAAGAAAAAAGAATAACCTGTTCATTTCGAGTCATTCCTGGTTGTATAAATAAAGTACGGAAAACTGTTTTCTGATTGACTAGTATCTCTTTAGGTCACTTAAGGTTCATTCATAGATAGTCCATAAATTATAGTCTTGTCATTGACAACAGATATATTCTTATACATTCAATCAGTTAGTTACAACGTAGGATCAGGCACATATATACATCGTTCAAAGTTGCTACATTTCATTATAACAATAAGATAAATACCATGCCCATGGAAGTGGTCACTTCAATGATTACTTACTTACTTACTTACTTACTTACTTACTTACTTACTTACTTACTCACTTACTCACTTACTTACTTACTCACTTACTTACTTACTTACTTACTTACTTACTTACTCACTTACTTACTTACTTACTTACTTACTCACTTACTTACTTACTTACTTACTTACTTACTTATTTACTTACTTACTTACTTACTTATTTACTTACTTACTTACTTACTCACTTACTCACTTACTTACTTACTCACTTACTTACTTACTTACTTACTTACTTACTTACTTACTTACTTACTTACTTACTTACTTACTTACTTACTTACTTACTTACTTACTTACACCTGTTACTCCCAATGATAGTAATATATAAAAGATAGATTGTTTACAAATATGTAGTACAAAAAGAAAGAAATAAAGTAATTTTAATCACACTTGATATACTACTAACAAATTATAATACTACTTATTACTATTTATAACTTACGCTGGTGAATAATTGCACACCACTAAGAATCTTTTACCACATTTTTGTACACCACAACCAATTTCAGTCTCTTCACCTTTTACTATCTATAATTGTAAAATTAACACTTTGATATAAATATCTACTAAATAATAAATATAAACATCAATAATCAGAAGGGAACTTTATGAATATTATAGTAAGTTCATAGTTGAGTTCATGAGTCAATTGAAGCTAGAGAATCATGGAAAACCTGGGAGTACTGAACAGCTATCCTGTTCTAATATGGGACTCTTCATCAGGACGCATCAATGATCCCATCCCTCAAGACTCGAGCCTAGGGGCTAATGGTCTCGTGAGTGAGCGTCGGTCAGCAGCCGATGGTGTTAATGTATAACTTTATTCAATCCATCAAGATACCACACCGTTCACCATTATCTTCAGTGATTTATTATTTCATAACAGACCCGTTTGAACTCCATTGATCACTGCTTTTTACTAAAACTTCAGGTAATAGGAACTAGATTTAGAGATTTCATCACGAACTGACATCATCTATAATGACAAAACTCTATTTGATCAAACGGATTTCGTTCCAAAATCCAAGACTTGATATCTTATATCTAATTGGTTCTTCTATGAATTATAATCTAGCCATTTAATCCCGTTATATGCTTCTCATATATGCCCGTATTGACTCAAGTGTACATTCAATATCATTACGGTTAATACATTATCTAATAGTCAATGATAATCAATTACGTCTATAATACAGTATACTTATAATTATGCATGACATCAAGCAACGAATCCTCGGTACTACCATAAGTGTATGTTTAGACCTTTGGACATAGTATTAGTTATCTAAAGGTTCTTTAGCTCATCACCAAATGAAAGGCTTTTAGTTCATTCTATTATGAGTTCAATCTAGACCAATATAAGATACTACTATCTACCTGATTTTCAAGAATATTTCATCTAGTGTTAATCAGAAACTTCAAACAAACCTGATTATAGCATACTGTCAAGGCTAATAAGATTTGTATATTCTCTATTATCTCTATTTAAGATGGTTACTTGAAATTTTATTGATGAATCATAACTAGTGTAATTCAACCACCTTAAGAATCAGACAGTTTCAGTCGATAACAATGAAGAATTAAACTATTAGAAAATAATTTATTAGTTGAATTCATGAGTCAATTGATGTTAGACCATCATCAGTTAGTCAGTCAGTTACAACTTAGGACCACGCATCTATATGCATCGGTTCAAGTTGCCATACCTCATTAACACAGCAAGACGAACACCGTATTCATAAAGGCAGTTAAGTCAATTGTGTAATATATGAAGGAAAAGATTGTGTTTAAGGATATAGTATAGAAAGAAAGAATTAGTTAGTAGAATGAAAGATATGAATCGATTTTAATCTCATAGGTTAAGGGAAGACAAAGTGTGTATACACTGACGCTATTGTGATCGATTCTGAGCCATGTCACACAGTCTACAACCATTGATTACGATAGTCACGCGGACCCCAACCAAGTAGTCTGCATCTACCAACATGGATCAGACTAGAAGTTAGTGACTTTGTGAACTGATGTCATATTTTGGTTTGGCCGTCCCTAACTTTCTTCCAACCATCCTCAACACTAGTCATCATTGTGCATCATGGTAAACAGTGTTCAGGCATACGTAACACGTGACCCAAACATCTTATCTGATGAAGATTCATAACTGTTATGCCCCGATAAACATGATGAATGGTAACTTCTGCGATCCATTTATAGATCAATATTATGCATATATTTGTATCGCACAAGTGTTATGTAACTAAACTATTCATACGCATGTCTCTCTTATTATGAGCTTTATTTTGATCTATGAACTATTATTATACGATTTATCATTCTTGAATTATGCCCTGTATATTAATTACTATCTCCCACATTCACATGCACTTTTGGTTGATTCTTATACAAATGTTGTTTCATATTTTATGGTACGATGTGATCTGTCTGGTTGGCATATAAACCTAGTATGTCTGAAATAAACGATTTATATCCCATAGGTTTGGATTAGTGTTTTGGACTTAATTCACTGGGCTAGGCAGGAAGCAGGACCAATCAGAAATCTAGACTTCTCTCATGGGTTTTATGCGTCATTGATCCGACCAGATAATCCACTGCTCTCTAATTATTGGTATCAAACAGGTCACAAGTTATAACAATAATCTCATCATTCCCTAATACTCTGCGTCTAACCTCACCATGAAAAACCTAAAAGCATTGGATGGACGTTTCGACCTAATGTGAGACTCCTCAACAATGTACATCCATGATTTCATCTCGTAAGAAAAATATTTCAAATAATATTTGAATTGAATAACAATTCTATGTATTATAAACACTTACTTGTTTATATTGCATACATGTATCATTGCATACGTTATCATCAAAAGAATAGTTCTTGTATTCAACAAACCAACTGGCTACTGCTCTAAAAACAAAATAAAAAGATCAAGTTGAGAGTTGAGGACTAGTTTGACTAATATAATATCTCAGTGGATTTGTTTCAATGTAAGTGTTACTTCTATCGAAGCGTCTACTTGACCTGATTGAGATACGCGCGAAACCGATGTTCCAAAACAACGATTTGTCTCAACTTGTGAGGTGTCTGTGGCGTTTAAACGCGTCCTTCAAGTATAAAGATAAAAGGCTTCGATAGTACAAAGGACAGCTGACAGCTGTGTCTAAATTTGATAGCAGTTTATGAACAACCGAAACCCGAACCAAGAGCAAAACAATATGGAAACTGTTGCGTTTTAACAAATGCACGAAACTGTGGTTAAACGTTACAGTGATTAAGGTACAGTAATTATAATGATAAATACAATGATAAGTACAATAAACGTCATAAATATATGTGAATAATTCAGAATAATACAATACGACTTGCGTTACAACATAGGTGTAAAATTGTTGGAAATACAATTGCTTACTGAATGTAAATAAGTAGTACAAAACAATATACAAAAGTGTGGGAAAGAAACGAGTAGGAACAATGTAAGCAAACTTAACAGTAAGTTAATTTAAGATAGCTTGTAAGAAATTCTGTTCCATATAGATTAAGTGTAGTGTTTTGGCTAATAGAGTACGATCAATACTAGATAGTTATACTACATATTGATCAATCGATATTCATAATTCAGTTCAACAGGAACCTAGCCATTACAATAATGGATATCAATCACAATGTCTCAGATCGTAAAACTATGTCACTAAGGTTCACATTTATTAGAAAGTTATTTCCTTTAAGATTCTAGATAAATCTTAATTATAAATGTTAATGAATACTTACTTTTCAATAGTTGGACTATCAGCAATATTTTGTGCTACTGAACCAAATTCTTCAAAACTCATATCACTTGGACTATCATAAGAGTAATCACATCGATTAGCTGTAAGTTGAGCTTTTTCTGCTAAATATTTATTCCATTTCTATAAAGTAAGAACAAGAGAAATATTGAAAATAACAATCAATATAAAGTACTAGATAGATAGATAGATATAACTGAAAAGTGTGTTATGATTATTTGAATGTTCGATTATTCTATAACTTTATTGTCACAGTGAATGATACATTAACATCGTTAGATGCCGGCTCTGTGGTTTAGAGGTCAAGCGTACAAGTGTATAAGCCTGAAGGTCTCAGGTTCGAGTCTGGTGCATGGAATCGTGGATGCGCTCTGCTGAGGAGTCCCATACTAGGACAAGACGGCTGTCCAATACTTCCAGGTTTTTTATTACACAGTAAGAATACAAGTTATGAGATATTTTCTTCATAATTAATTCTTCATGATTAGAATACTAGTTTAATGAAATAATTCATAATATCGAAAAGGTCTTGAACGGAAAATTGCTTTCTACGGAACCAATCATTAAAGCCTAAAGTTGAATTTGGTCACATGTGAATTAGTTTAATATAATAATTTTCTCAAATACAGACTACTGAATAGTTCTCTCGAACTATAGATCAAGGGTTGTGCAAGATTATAGATCGATTGAATTACAACATTTGCACCCTTAAATGTCAAATCAGTGGTCTACGAGTTAAGTGTTCACCCACCAGACCGATAGTCCTGGGTTCGAGTCCCTCATGCGAGATTATCGGAGCACACTGATGAGTAAATCCAGACTAGGACTAAACGGTCGTCAGGTGCTTACAGGCTTCCTATGGTGATCTAGCCCAGATCAACTCATGAATTCAACTATTCAAATATCGTTGACACATATTTTATGATTTGTATTCATTCTGACTGAAAAGTAATAGATTAAGTTAGGATAATTGCTTAAGATTTAGTAAGATGACAAAGTGACAACTAACTGGACTGTAATATCGTACAAGATTTATTATTATGTGAAGGAACGAGGGTATAATTACACATGACATGTGAGGTTTAATTATTCAGATCAAAACTATTATCCCACCGTTGATTCATTGCTTTGGATTGTTAATTGTTTTACAACTAGGCGGCGTCTCCCGATTGGCTGATAAGTCGACTAAAGTCATCAGTACAGTATACTTTTAATAGTTGTATTCTTGGGTCAGTTGCAGCTAGACTATCATGGAAAACCTGAAATCACTGGACAACCAGGCAGCGTCTCCCAATTGGCTGATAAGTCGATAAATGCTACCAGTACATAATACTTCTAATAGTTGAATTTATGAGTCGAATGAAGCTAAACCACCATGGGAAACCTATAAACACTGAACGGTCGTTTCGTCTCAGTATAGGACTCCTCAGCAGTACTCACCTATAATCCCACCCCTCGAGACTCGAACCTAGGACCTTTTACTTCAACACTTAACCTCTAGATAACTGAGCCAAACAAAAAGATATCATGTAGACCACCACCACCACCACCACCACCACCACCATCACAACAACAACAACAACAACAATATCAAATGCACAACTTACTAATTTTGACATACGTTTTGCTGGTGGTTGATTTGGCATTTGACAAAAACGTATTGAATTACGATAATATTTATGTAATTGAAATACTTCACGTACTTCTTTAGGTAATTTTAATTTTTTACATTGACTTAAAATGATTATAAGGGATAATAATATAACAATTATGTTAATACATTTAAGCATAGGATAATTATTCATTGTAATCACATGTAATAGGTGTATACAAATAGGTTGCCATGTATACTATGTTATTTATACTTCAAATGAAGCCATATAATTGATTCGATTATGTAATATCTATGACACTTTGTCATTATTATTATTATTACTATTGTTACGTAATACATACATAGATATAGGGGGGGTATAAGCTTAGATACAAATTAATAATGAATGACAAATGATTTATTTGTCAGAATACAATAAGAAAAAATTGAGTGGAGAAATCCAATTAAAAAACGATTTTATCAGAAAGTGGGTGAGGGGGGGAGTTGAGGAGATTGTAGTAATTTTAATGGTTGATTTCATGTAATCGATTGAAGTTAGATCATTATGGGCTAGTTGGAAGCATTGAATGGTCATCATGTCCCAGTATAGGACTTCTCAGGAATGTGTGTATCTACGATCCCGCTCGCAAGATTCGAGCTCAGGACCTGTTAAGCTCGACTGAGATCACTTAATCTCTAGAACACTAAGCTGGTATGTAACGGTGTTAATGTAAAACATCAATTTATGTACGAAATGTTATGGGTTTGAATGGAGCGAGCGAGATCGTGGATGCACACTGCTGATGAATCTCATACTAGGATGAAATGGCCGTTCAGTGATCACAGGTTTTCCATGTTTGTCTAGCTTTAATTGACTCATGAATTCAAATATATATATATATATATATATATATATATATATATATATATATATATATATATATATATATATATATATATATATATCTCCTTATTATACATAAATTTCGTGGATTGGTTGGACTTGGACATTACCACGGTTGGATTCCCGCCAGCCCATTGGTCTAGAAATTAAGTGTTCGCGTACGAGACTGATAGGTCGCTGGTTCGGATCTCTCTCGAGAGATCATGCATGTGCACTGTTGAGGAGTCCCATACTAGAACGAAACGGTCGTTCAGTGCTTCCAGGTTTTCCATGGTGGTCTAGCTGAAATTGACTCATAATCTGAACTATTAAATTACTAAGAATACATAATTATTATTACTAAAAAATCTACAAAATGTTCAATTTATTTAAAATTATCAGATTAAACCATGATAATTATATCATACAGTTATCTGCTCAATCATGAATACACTTCCTGACGTTTAATTGCACTTACTTACATACATACATACATACATACATACATACATACATACATACATACATACATACATACATACATACATACTTACTTACTTACTTACTTACTTACTTACTTACTTACATACTTACGCCTGTTACTCCCAATGGAGAATAGGCTGCCGACCAGCATTCTCTAACCAACTCTGTCCTGTGCCTTCCTTTCTAGTTCTATCCAATTTGTGTTTATTCTTCTCATGTCTGTTACTATTTCTCGGCGCAATGTGTTCGATGATCTTCTTCTTCTTCTTTGGCCTTGAGGATTCTAGAAGAGCGCTTGCCTTGTGACGCAGTTCGTTTTTTTCCTCAATATGTATCATATTCACTTCCATCGCTTCTTCTTGATTTTTTCCTTCGCTGGGATCTGCTTTGTTCTCTTGAACAGTGGAAGCGTGATAGGCTCATAATTACACATAGATGTAAATTATTTGATACAATACACAATGAAGTCATTCCATACTATTCATACATTTTCTATGAAACAAACGTGTCTTTATTCCAACAATAATAGTGTTGACTGATTGCTACTTTTTCTATCGATCAGCTTTATATGACCCACCTTTGAATGACAGAGTGATGCATAAAATTCTTTTTAACAATAAAAAATGTTGAAACGATGCAACCACTTTTCTAGTGTACGAATATTAGGACGAATAGTTTGACAGAAACTTGGCTCTGGGCGTAAGGAAGACATTGTGAAAACTACGTATATAAGTTCACTTGGTATTGTTTGCTTGTATCTTCCCATTGTTATATTAGGACTGCAATTGATCTGTCTCTCGTTGCAATCTGTGCATCCTGTGAGGATTGCATTGACATTGCCTTATGTCACAAACATTATCAGCAAAGATGAATGGTGGCTAGCAGAGGAATCCAAGACTCGCATTTTGTAGCATTTGGAGCACATAAGCTGAATGTATCTGCATCCCATAGTTGATTTTCACTCCAGTACTCAAACTCAGTAGTCCTGATAGACACCACATTGCATAAGCAGGTGATTGTAAGGACTCAGTTGTTTAGTGGATGACACGATGGTGTTTAAACCGGAGTGAGACAAATCTGCCTACTCTCCCTCTTTCTCGTTCCTCTGGTGGTCGACTAGATTATGAAGACCTCGATATTTGACGGGAAGCACGGAATACATTGCACAAATTGGATGCAACTAGAGGATTTGAACTTCTCAGAAAACCTAGCCCTTCTATCTCTTACGCATCAACAAATAGAGGTCAAGATAAGCAGTGCAGCAAAAGCCTCTGTAGCAGTAGGTCTCAACATATATAACGAAAAAAGCAACATCTTCAAATACAACTCAGGGAACACTAACGCAATATCACTTGATGGAGAATCTCTGGAAGATTTGGAAACATTCAAGTATCTGAGTAGCATCAACAATAAGCGTAGAGGATCTGATGCAGATGTGAACGTACGGATTGGCAGCAGTAAGGGTATTATTACTACAATTGAAGAACATATGCAACTAAAAACAACTGTCTCTCAACTAATATCAATGTCACAATCTTCAATACGAATGTCAAGACAGTTCCAATGTACAGAACTGAAACGTGGAGAACTAATACAACAATCATCAAGAATCTAGAAGTATTATAAGCAATTATCTACGTGAAATACTGAATGTCTGTTGATCACATACCATCAGCAACAACCCACTCTGTGATAGGACAAAACAGCTCCCGTATGAGAAGGAAATTAGAAAAAGACGTTGGAAGTGGATAAGACATGCATTGAGGAACTCATCAAACTACATCACGAAACGAACGCTAACTTGGAATCGTGAAGGGAAACGCAAAAGCGGAAGGCCGAAGAACACATTAAGTCGGGAATTGAAACAGACATGAATGAGATAAATAGCAGCTACGGAGGATTGACAAAGAATGATTTGGATTTAAATATGGTAGTGAGCGGACTATGCTGCTCCATGAGGAGTAACATGTGTAAGTAAGTAAGTAAGTAAGTAAGTAGTGATATTTTTCCCTTATTGTTTCGTTTCTCTTTCTATGTATTGCATCTTTGCCCGACATACATCAACACTTTTAACGTACTTATACGCTACAAATCGTCTAAGAAAGATTTAGATTTTCTCCTTACGAATAGTAAACGAGCGCATTACACTATTCAACATATCTAAATCAGAGCAAATAGTTTGTCATAGTATAAATATAATGTATCAAACTTTCCATTGAATTTCTTCTGTTAATAAAGTAATGACATGATTATGTATTTTTCCTTTAATAAACTACTTATATTTATCATGAGTAATAAATGTTTACAATTAATTAACGACTTGATGGAGATTTTTAGAAATTTCAATAGTTGAAGCTAGACCACCATGGGAAACCTTGATGCACTGGACGGCTGTTTCGTCTTCGTATGGGACCCTTCAGCAGTGCGCATCCACGATCCCGTTCCCCTCGAAACTCAAATCCAGAATCTATCAGTCTCGCGCGAGAGTTTATCTATTAGACTAACAAAATATATTTACAATATTGCAATGGATAAAAAATTGAATTTCCAATATTACATTGTTTTGTATGCTACTTATACCTGCCAAGATAAGTAGTATGTAACACCGATCAGAAGTGGAATGCCTATCAAAAAATAGAGTGAGATAAATAAACTGAAAAAAAAACAGAAAAGAATTGTCGATTGAAAGAATTATAAAGGATTTAAAGAACAATCTATGGAAGATTCACATATAAAGTACTTAATGTCAGATTATAACATTGGTTCACCTCTACTTGATTGCTCGTTCAATTCATCACAACTTTACTTACTTCCTTACTTACCTACTCACCCACCTAACTATCTACCTACCTACTTACTTACTAACTTACTCTCCTACTTACTTACTTATTTATTTACTTACTTACTCACCTACTTACTTACTTACTCACCTATTTACTTACTTATTTATTTACTTATTTATTTATTTAGTTACTTACTTACTTACTTACGCCTGTTACCCCCAATGAAATATAGGCCACCGAAGAGCATTCTCCGTTCCGCTCCGCCTAGGGCCCCTTTGGGGCTATTGCAAGTTCCAAGCCTGCTTAAAAGAGAAGGGTTGGGCATTGCTTTAGCTAGTGTATCCTGTAGAAAACTAACTCTTTAAAAACAAACGCTAAACATAATTCATTACAATTTAATGTAAATCAAAAATCCAATTTCTAATTCATTAGTATATTATAAGAAAACATATCTTATTATGATATATACTAGCTCTATTAAACTAAAGGTATAATTGCATTTACAATACTATGACATAAATGTTCCAATTAGAAAGAATTCCAATAAGATTACTTAACAGAAATAAAAATCAATCTGTCAACAACAACAACAACAACAACAACAACAATACCCCCCCCCTCGCCACTTTTAAGTATAGATTGAAGTTTATCACTGAGTACTTTTGTATTATAATATGTTAATCTAAAACAATAAAAAGTAGAACATTTATTATTTCTTTAATAATCTTGTTATTTACTAGGTGATTTGAATGTGTAGATGATTGTAGATGGATGTATGGGTACTTGTTTCTAGGATTAAAAAAAATGGCTGTTTCATTTTATTTGGTTTTTAATTGGATCTAAATAGAACTTAATCTTTGACTATTAATATCATCTAATTAAATCAATCTCCATGATAACTATTCAATAATATTATAATTGTTTTTTTTTGTAAGGAATGATGGATAGTGGCTAGCAGTGGAATCAAGTTTGACGCGCGTTTTGTTCTATTTTGTACTCGTCAGCCGGATGTACCTGCATCTCAGAGTTGATGTTCACTCTGAGACACGAACCCAGTACCAT